AAAAAAAAAAAAAAAAAAAAAAAAAAAAAAAAAAAAAAAAAAAATTAAAAATAAATTTATAATGAGTTGCTTTTCTCTTGCTGCTTTTAAGATTCACTCCTTGTCTTTGACCAGTGTCACTATAGTGTGGCTCAGTGTAGGTGTCTTTATGTTTATCCTACTTCTAGTTCACTGAGCTTCTTGGATTTATATATCCACATCTTTCCTCAAATTTAGTCATTCTTGTTTTCAAATGATCACTCTGCCCTCTCTCCTCCTCTTCCACCTGGGGATCCCATTGTATGTATAGCAGTCAGCCTGATAGAGTCTGTCCCCTAAGTCTTTTAGGCTCTATTCACTTAACATTCTTGTTTTTGCTCCTCAAGCTTGATCACTTCAAATGACCTCTTTTTAAGTTTGCTGATTTTTCTTCTATTTGTTCAAGTCTGCTGCTGAACTGCCCTAGTGAATATTTCCAATTATTGTAATTTTCAGTCCCAGAATTTGTTCAGTTTAAAAAAACAGTCCACCTCTTTGTCAATACACTTTTATCTTCACATGCTGTTTTCCTGATGTCCTTTTGTTCTTTGTCCATATTAGCCTTTAGCTCTTTTGAGGTATCTGACATTTGTTTTAAAATCCTTGTCTAATAACTAGGTGCCTTTTTGCTTGTTTCTGAAATTTTTGCTTCCATGTTTTTCTATTTCTTTGCATGCCTATGACCTTTTGTTGAAAAGTGGGCATTTGCAAAAACAGGCCCCTCGTACACTGATGGGTAAGACCTTCTCTCATTAGTGGGACCATGAGTCTTCAGAGCAGCCTGGGCCTTCTCAGGTCTTTTCTGGGCATGCTTCCTGTCCAGGTCTGTATGTTTTAAAAATTTCCCTCAGCTTTTAAATGTCTTAATATCCTGAAGAATCTCCACCTTCTTCTTGGGGCCTTAAGTATTCTATTGTATTCCACTATTTTGTAATCTTTCTCATCTGCAGTCAGCTTGTACTTTTCATGTGTTCCATTGACTGCCACTGCCTCTTGTGGTTTCTTGTCTCACATCCAAATTATGGCAGTGTTTCCCTTCTGAACTTTGACTCCAGCAAGACAGCAAACAGTTCCTCAGACAGTCCACAGATAGGTCAGAATGTTGCAAACAAGTTCCACTCTGCTCCTTTCATCCCAAGGGAGGGAGCCAAGAATCAGGTGAATTCCTTCCAACCGCACCATGCAGGGAAGTGGTGGGGCAAGGGCAAGTAAAAATGCCACACAATTTCTTTTAAAATTCAAAGTGATTTTGTGTTGGACATTCACTTGTTTAGGTGTTCAGTTTCTGTAGTTATTTGATGTTTCTATGGGAAAATGAGGCCTAAATCTTCCTAGCTTGCCATCTTGCTGATGTCACTGTTTATTCATCTTTTCCCAGTATTTTCTTCTGTGTTTTGCACTGCTTAATTTCTGTAGATCCACCTTCCAAGTTTATTGACTCCTTCGTCACCGACTCTGCTAGCGAAGCCCTTCAGATCATCTTTCTTAAATTTCAGATTTTCAGTTCTAAAGTTTGTATTTGCATCTCCTTTGGTAGTTTGTTCCTGCGCTGAGAAGCCACATTGTTTTCATCATTTCAAGTGTGCTTTACCTTGTAGAACAGTCACAAAAACTAGTTTAAAAACTTTGTAGGACAATGGCATCTAGGTCATCTCAGGATTGACGTGTGCTTTTTCTTCACCTGTTTGCATTTTCATGGTCTTCTGCATGTCAAATCATTTTGCGTTGTACCGTGGACACTAAATATTACATATTGCATGGATCCTGGGTCCTGTTGACATTGTCTGGAGAATGTTGTTTTTGTGGGTCCTGCTACAATCGTTTGGAAAATGTTGCTGTTTTTGTTTTAGCAAGTAATCAACCTGCTTAGAGACTATACACTCTATCTTGATCTTGTGTGGGTAATGATCAAAAATCCCAGTGCAGTCTTCAAAGCCTTCTGTGTGTTTTGTCCACTCATGAACCTGAGACTTGTGTGTGTTCAGTTAGGGGAACATGTCTCTCTCTCTCTGCTCGGGGATTGTCCTCATGCTTACTCTCTACCCCCCAGGGAATCCTTTCTCTGATTAGAAAAAGGTTTTCCTTTATCTCAGATTTTATTTGGCCAGGTGTACTGTTGGCCACCACTGCAAGGTTTAATGGGGGCCTGCCTTTGGGTGGAAGTCCCATGCTCAGGAGGGCCCAGCAACTGTTTCATTTCCCATCAGAGAAACTCATCCCTGTGCAGTTGCTTCTTTGTATTTTGATGCCCTAACACAATCCATCTGCTTTCAATTTCAGCATCTGCAAGGAATTGTTTCACATCTTTTGCCCAGAGATTTTAGATGAAATTAGTGGGAGGGTAGGCAGTAGTAGGCTCATAGTAACACAGTGGAACTGTAACTCTCTGCAACACTTCCTGGGAGTTTGACTCTGGAAAAGCTCCTTACTCTACATCCCTACTTGTAAAATGGTAGAAGCAACAGTGCCCACATCATTTTCAACTTGTGGCACTGCTTTTTGAGGATAAAATGTGGTTATGGGCCATCTAACACTTGTAATAAACAGTAAGTGCTCAAAACAATGGCTATTACTATTCATATATTTTCAGTAAGACTGAACATTTTGGATTATAATACTGGAATAAAAAAATGAAGACCTCAAAAGTTACAGGTTCAGTGGGCTGGCTACCTGGATACTGAGGCTTGAAGGAAAGACTGAAAAGGAAAGAGGTATTTAGAAGAGCAAAATATTCCATGGTGGTTTTGTAGCCACTGGAATGACACCCTCATCCTTGTCAACTAATAGATATGGTGCCAATCAAAGCAGAAAGTTGCAAGGACAGGTAAGGTAGCTTGTAGGTATGCCTTTTATAACCTAACACATTAAACAAGAATGAAGACTATGTAATAGTTAAGTATGTAATTACGGATCCAGAACACTGCTTTTATTTCCAATGAAATACCCCAATTTTCCCTTCATGCCTTTTTTATTAAATTATGGGGGAAAAAATGGAAATAAGATTCTTACTTATTTTCTAATACTACGACTGCTCCATTTGCTCCCTTGCTAGATGGTTGAAAAAGAACATGCAACCCGCCGAAGACCTCCAGTCAGTAGTCCAGAGGCTGTCAGTGTTTGGGCCAATTAAGTCAGTCACCTTCTGTGGACGGCAAAGTGCTATCGTGGTGTTCGAAGACCTGACTTCAGCTTGTAATGCTGTGAATGCTTTTCAAAGCAGGACCACAGGCACAATGTTTCAGTGTTCCTGGCAACAGCGTTTCATGTCAAAAGATGTAAGACTCGCTATGACCAAAAACCTCTGTAGATTCTTGTTTTACATGTCATTTGTTTTTCACCAGGGCTTTAGTGAAGTAGGATAATCGTAAGTGATAATTCAGCACGGTTTATTCAGTTCAAGTATTAGAAATCACAAATGATAGCACATCCCTTCCTTTGAAATGTTTAATGTTTCGGTGATAGGCATCAGAGTTTGGCTTTTCGGGTTAAGAAGTTCATGACTGCATTTGTGCATTCATCTGACAGCCATCTTTCCTGGAGGACTCTGCTTTCTTCGGCATTAAGAGCATGTAGCTTTTCTTTCTCCCTATTCCTGATGACCTGTTTTGAAATTCTCATGGCCTGAAAACACAAAAGCAACAATAAGGTTAAGAGGCATTGTAACAGGGTACCCCATAGTTCTGATTTTTGTTTCTCCATTGTTCACTTAATCCTGTCACACGTTCAGATACAGGTGTAACACAGGACAGTGTTTCTCAAACTATAATGCACATACAAATTACTTTGATGGGTGTGGGAGAGGGCCTGGGATTCCACATTTGTAAAAAGCCCCAGATAGATACTAAAGCTTTTGGTTCCAGGACCACATTTTGGGCAGAAAGACTGTAAGAGCGATCAGTCACCAGTTAGCTGCATATAAAAATGAAAGTGCAGGGTGCCTGGATGGCTCTTTGGTTAAGTGTGTAACTCTTGGTCATGATCTCATAGGTTGGTGGGTTTGAGACCCATGTCTGGCTCTGTGCTGTCGTCACAGAGCTTTCTTGGGATTCTCTCACTCTCCCTCTCTCTCTGTCCCTCCCCTGCTTGTGCTCCCTCTCAAAATAAATAAATAAATTTAAAATAAAAACAAAAACCAACCCCCCACCCCCACAAAAGTGCTGCATGATAAGAATCTCCTCAAGGTCAACCTATCTGGTTTCTCACCTGGATTCAAGAATAAAAGTGCTCAGCAAATAAAGCTTATCATCCTCCTCAAAGTCATCCCCAGAAAGAACTGCCCCTCTGCCTTCCTACATATCAGAGAAATGAAATGTCTATTTGAAAAGTTTTATAAAAATCAGTGTTTCTAACATTATTATTGTTTTTTTTCCCCAACGTTTTATTATTTATTTTTGGGACAGAGAGAGACAGAGCATGAACGGGGGAGGGGCAGAGAGAGAGGGAGACACAGAATTGGAAACAGGCTCCAGGCTCCGAGCCATCAGCCCAGAGCCTGACGCGGGGCTCGAACTCACGGACCGCGAGATCGTGACCTGGCTGAAGTCGGACGCTTAACCGACTGCGCCACCCAGGCGCCCCTATTATTGTTATTTTTAATCTCAAATTTAGATATGCTCAAAGCTAACCAAGATAGGTCTTGTTTTTTAAATTCCTTATTCTCTTAAGGCAAATACATTATTTCCATGGTTTCTACTATTAAAAAAGAAAAAAAAAGAACACAAACATTTGGGGGCAACTTTGAATATGCTTTCAGCCTGGTCCAAACTTCTTTCTGAAAAGTGCTATCAGGAAACACTTCACTAACAAGTCCTTGAGCGCATGCCTCTGCAGCGGTTAACTTCTTTCCGAAAATAAGCATCTCGGCTGCCTGAAATGAAAAGTAGGATTGAGACATTAACTTAATAAAACAAAGGTCAGTTAACCTCAGAACAGCAGACATAGGGAGATTCCCTTGTGGTCTTTTGAGGTTGCCAGGATTTCTTGTTCAGGGAGAAACTGAAGACCTCAATAGGCAATGCTGTTGCAAAATGTGCTGAAGCCATCTTAGGCTCTCTAGAAGGTTTGCAGGTGTTTTTGCTTCTGGATGTATCTATGTTGGAGAGGCAAGAGCAGGGAGCCCAGGGCAGAAATGACTTGAAGCAGATGCTGACTTGATAACCCACACAGCTATAATTTTTTATTTAATATACCATAAACAACTATATAAGAAAAAAAGAATTAAAAAAAAAAAAAAGGAAAATCATGGTCACAGTGAATGCCAACCAAACTTTAGACACCCTAACTCTCTAATTTCCTTTCCCTGGAGATTTTACCCAGTGGTCTAGCTCTGACAGGTTTCTTTACCTGCACAGAGACTAGTACTTAGCTCTACCTGACTAAAGGAAAGTGAGGACTAAGATTGTTTCTATCAAACTGAGATCCCTAAGCAGATATCTTTCTCTGTATTTCCAATTTTTCTTCTGGAAAAATAGTATTTTCATAGTCAAATGCCCTAAGCCTTAGAGTTGGTTCTGCCCAGCTTTTCAAAGTTAAAGTCTGTAGAGTAACTCAGGGTCTGTGACAGAATAATGAGATTTAAAAAATACGTATTTACAACAAAAACCTAGCAGTCAGTGAAAACAGGCTCAACTCCAACGCCAGCCCTTTCATACCTCAAAGAGTGTGGGCCGAGCCATCCCCTAGCCCCTGCTCTCCATGCTCCAGTCTTGTGATCACCTTGCAGTCATGCACACTAAGCCTGCGCAACCAAGTTTCCAGAGACACAGTGACAGACCTGAGCAACCACTGAACCACTCAGGGAACCTGAACACAAAACTAAAACCACCCACGAAGAGGCTGCTGTGACTGGAAGTGGTTGTGGAAGAGTATCTCCTGTGACCCTCCAAGTAAAGGTGTCATCTTAGGGCTTCCAGAGGATGCTACTCATCTGTACAGAAACCAGGTGGCGTCCTGAGCTGGGCACAGCCCTGGTCTTTTAATGCTTTTAAAGCCCTGGTCTTTTAACACCACACAGCAGCAGAGAATGAGCTAGGCACCTAGCTGCAAGAATAGATCCTAGTTTGAGGAGTTATGGAGGGTTTCTGATTCTCCTCATACCAGAAAGACCATTTCCCATAGCCCAGCTCCTCTATATTTGAAACTTTTAGAGTTCAAACATTATCAGCAAATGTTTCATTTTTCTCCTGTCTATATTATAAAAAGAGAGAGTACAGAGTTGCCTTTGGAACGGAAGTCACTATTACAATTTATTCTTAAGGTTTCCAAAAGTTACCTTGGCTGGGCCCATTATCTTCGGAAAAGTGTAAGAAGAACATCCTTCTGGACTCTGGCCTAGGTGACTAAAAGGAGTATGAAATGTTGCCTATTTGGAGAAAAAAGAAAATAAAATTATTTTTTGTATGTGATAAAAAAAAAAAACCCACTATTGTCTACATCCTCACAATACTTAATTGAGTAGCTTGCTTTACAATTAGGATTTTGGTGGAATTATATACACAGAAAGTTCACTACTAGGTATGTAGCTGGTAAGTTTTAACACATGTATACAGTTCTGCAGTCACCACCATGTCAAGGTGTAGACTATCTCCATCATCCCAAAGGGTTCCTTTGTGCCCTCCATTCTTGTCACCTCCAAACAACCACCGATCTGTTTTCTGTCCCTCTGTTTGCCTTCTCTAGAATGTAATATAATGGAATTGCATGTTCTGTAGCCTTTGGTCCTTAGCCTAAGATTTCTGAGAGTCACCATGCTGTAGTATGTATTAGTAGCTTGTTCCTTCTCGTTACTGAAGAATTCCATTGTATGGATGTTGTAATTCGTGTATCCATTTACCAGCGGAAGCCATCGGTGTTATTTCCAGCATTTTGGCTATTATGATTACGACTGTTAATGATAATTTTATGCAGGTCTCTGCATGAACGTGTTTTCAGTTCTCTTGGGTAAATACCTAGGGGTGGAATTGCCGGGTTGTAGGGTAAATGGTGGTTTAAAACTTTGTAAGAAGCTGCCAAAAGATTTTCCACCATGGTGTACCATTTAACAGTCCCACTAGCAGCACGTGGAGTTCCAATTGCTCCACATCCTCGCTAAACCTTGTTATTATCAGTCGTTTTATCTTGAACCATCCTGGTAGGTGTGTAGTAGTGTCTTGTGGTTTTAATTTCCATTTACCTAATGACTAATGATGTTGAGCGTCTTTTCATGTACTTATTAGCTCATTTTATATCTTTTTTGATGAAGTAATCATTCTAATACTTTGCCCATGATTTTTAAGTTAGATTGGTTGTCTTTTTATTATCAAATTGTAGTTCTTTATGTATTCTGGTTGCAAGTAATTTTCTTAATAGTGTCTTTCTCCTATGTTTTTAAAGAGGCATTTATACTTTATTTTCTGCAGATTATGTATTCCTCTGTTGCCCATTTTTACATTAAGTTGTTGACCTATCATTTTATAAATGTATTTAAAAAATGTTAGGAAGATTAGCCTTTATTGTGTCAGTTGAAAAATTGTTTCCTCAGTCTGTCATCTGTCTTGATTTTACCTCAGAGAGGTTTTTAAATTGGCTTTAAATATCAGAATCTATGACTAATACTGGTTATTTAGACTACAGAGCCATCTTTAATTTTTTTAATTTATTTAAGAAATATTTTTGTGTATTTCTTGATGAATGAGAAGTCCTTACGAAAGGAAATTAATTTATAATTGACCATATGTACACAGAACATTTAGACTTCGTTTCCCCTAATCAGATATGGTGCTATTTCATAATGTATATTTTTAGAGGACATAAATATATAATGTATGCAGCACATAGACCAAAATAAAAATATAAAATACTAATGTCACCTATCATCCCTCTCCCTCCAAAAGAAAACATATTCAAGAAGATATACTGCAAAGTCACAGCCTAAGGATTACAAGCAGGAAATTGAAAGAAAAGGCTAATCATAGCTAAGGGGACACGAACAGGTATGTGTGGAGCCAACAATAAAGCACCATTTAACTTATTTACAATCATTATTATAAGTAAGCATTTAGCCCATTTTCATAAATAGAGCAGTAGATGTAACCAAGGGTCAGGCTCTGGCATCAGACTGCTTGCTGATGCTGGGAGCTTCTTAACCTCTTTGTGCCACAGTTTCCCCATCTGTAAAATGGAGACAAGAGTACCTGTCTCACAGGGCTGTTGTGTTATGTATGTACACTGTGCATCAACAGAACACCCAGTATGTGGTGTACTCAAATAGGATTTTTAGGATTTCTACCTTTTTATTACCTCATGGGGAAATGCACTATTTGTTGACAAGCTAACAGACAATGTTAACTACTGCCCATAATAAAGAATCATTTGATTATATGAGTAAATGTTAACCCACGTTTAGTATGGTATTTGTTTATGAAGCCAATAATGATAAATCCTATAAAACGAATTCCTCTCCACAGGTTCTTTCTTCTGTGTCTTTCTCTGATTTGAAATTGAACCTTGGTTTGATTCAGTTGGGTGAACTCTTAGCAGTGGTCTCTATTTGTTTAAATATTTTACTTTGAGCCAAATCTTTTAGCATTTTTAATTACATACATGTGTTTTCTTTGATTTCAATTATAATTGGTATCGTTTAAGATGGAAGTCCTAGAAACCTATAAAAGGATGATGGATAGGACAGTCATTTTGAATTCTGAGAATCAGGAAAATATTCAAAGAGGATGATATATTTTCCCTCTGAGTACTGAAGGAGGAGACCCCCAAGTTCATGTCAGGAATTCCTGAACCCACCCCCTTCTGGACTGGCTGATTAATGAGTCCTCTAACACACAATGTGACCAAAGGCTACTGATTTCTGCCTTTGGGCAGAAATTTCCACCTGTAAAGGTTAGATATCCTAGCACCTAGAATCCCATTTACTATTTTCATGGAAAAATTATTAGTAACAATTAGGTCTGACAATATGCCCAATCCGATCAAACTGAATCTGGTAAAAAATGAACCCAAGAGATTAGGATCTTAAAATATGGTCTTGTCTATCAGTAGGGAAAACACCTCCAAACAAAACTAGAAATCTCTTCAGTGATAAAAACCAAATGTTTCCCATGAGGTGTAGATCAGGAAATCCTACTACTGCAGAAGCAAAAGTAAGAATCTGGTAACCGTACAAGGGATTATTAGTTCTACAGTACAAGTTCTAGGGTAAAAGTTCTAAGCTAAATGGTCATCACATCTTTGTTCAAAATGAAAGACCTGGAGTTCCAGCACCCAGGGACTGGTTATCTCTGAGAGGTAAGACAAGGAGTGCTTTTTAATTGAACCCTTTTCTTTGTGCTTTTCCAGATTTTTCAAAATTTTATTTTCTACTATGACATACACCACTACTGTAGTAAGAACAGAAAGTAAAATCAGTACAATTCAATGATAAACACCAGGCTGAACTGTTTTGGCAAGTAACTTCACTGAGCTTCAGTTTACTTACCTGCAAAAAAGGGAGTGAGGGCAGAGAGTGCTTGAAAGTTCCTTCTTATTCAAAAATTCTATTCTAAAATTCTAAACTCTAGAATTTATTTGGAAAAAAAAAGTATTAAGTGATCCACTTGTGTAACATGCAAAAATGCCACTCCTATCTTAGATTATTTGGAAAATTAGAAGTTGAGTAACTGTTACGTAATCTGACTAAAGCACTGAAAGAGTGGGGACAAATGTTCACAACAATACTGGTGTTTAGGAAAACCTAAGTTAATAATGAAGGACAAATAAAACAAGTCGAATTACATTAGGGTAATTCGTTAGGAAAAATTTTAATTTAGTCCATTCTACCATAAACCATGTAATCTACTTACTACTAACAACAATAAAGGAAAGTTCAGAGGACCTCATTTTTCCCTCAAGACTTTGTAAGTTTCTGGGGGCTAACTTACCCTGCTGGATGCATACACAGTATCAAATAGCCCAAGAATGGTGACGGAGATTCCCACAGCTGGACCATTTACCGCTGCAATCAGAGGCTTAGGAAAATCTATAAAACAGTCTACAAAATCCCTACAGAAATGGAAATACAAAAGCACATTTAAATGTTCCAAGGCAGCATTACTGAAGTATAGGAAAGACAGCATGAGCCTGAAATAAACTCTCTGGCCAGGCTGGACATCCATCTGAATGGCACTTGATGGAAGCTCATAAAATGAGTCCCATAAGCTTGACCTTGGTTCAACCATGTATTCTGGGCAGCCAGGTCAGGGCTGTATGTCAGCCACAGACTTAGAGATTAGGGTGGCTGGCTGAGCATATGCTGCAATTTTATAGCTCAGTGGGAATGAGAAACCCAGGAGGGATAAGTGAGTTGGGAAGAGAGAAGCCTTCCTGTCCTCTAGGCTGAGACTACTTCACATATCTCATTACCCGCAATCATAGAAACCATGCAATCCTCTGGCCAAAAAGAGAATTTGCTAGATCTCTCTGCTTCAATACGAGAGAATTTTTTTTTTTTTTTTTTTACAACTGTAGTTTATTACATTGACACAAAGAAGTATTTATCTTCTGCTCGACTAAATACCACTTTAATGAATAAGAATGTGCCCTTTGGGATCAACAAATGTCACTCTTACCTCAGTAAAATGGCACTACTTTTAGCTTTCTCCTCTATTCCCTCAGGGGGAATATCAGTGAAATTAGACAGATCATTCCCACTAGAGTAATAGTCACCATTTCCTGTAAATAAAATCAGCAGATTCACCATTCATTCCGTAATTACTGAGCATCTACTAGGTAAGGCTCTATTAGCAAGCAGTGGAAATGCACTGGTGAACCAGCTATGGCTCCTGTCCTAATTTACAGACTGTTGAATAAGCTGGACATTGATTTCAAAACACATAAGCAAATGTAGGTAACCTAATTCTGATACAGAGAAGTACTTGACGATGACATGAGAGTATGTAACAGAATTTGTTCTAATCCCGTTTCAGGAGGACATTCCTAAAGAAGGAATAGCTGAACTGAGATCTGGAGGAGGAGCAAGGTTAGCTAGAAAAAGAGGGGTAAGGCAGAATTCATGCAGAGCAAACACCATGTACAAAGGCTCTGTGAAGGGGGTAACCCTGGTGTACATGACGAGCTGAAAGAAGCACCACTGTGCCAGAGCAGTAAAATCCAGAGGGGGAGTTGGTGTATGTAGGATGTGGGCAGGCAGGAAAGACCATGCAGGGCTTTGCTGAACCATTAAGAAGTTCTGCCTTTTATTCTAAGAGCCATTGAAGGTGTTTGTTTTAAAGTATAATTTACACACAAGAAATACTTGTGTGTTTCAATGCTTTTTTTTTTTATGCTAAATGCTTTAAGTTTTAAATGCTCGGTTAAATGATTTTCGATAACTGTAAATAATTGTGATCGCCATTTGAAACAGATATAGAACATTTCTACCATCCTAGAAAGTTCCATTAAGCTCCTTTCCAGCCATCTCACTCCACCCCACCCTGCCCCAATGCAATCACTTTCTGACTTCAATCACCACAGAACGCTTCTGCCTATTTTAGAACTTTCATAAATGGAATCACATAATGTGTACTATTTTGTGTCTGTGTTCTCTTTGCTGAACCATCTTAAAGATTCACCTGTATTCTTGTATCAGTTCTTCATTCCTTTACAATGCTGAGTAGTACTCCATTGTGTGACTAGTCAACAATTTGTTTATTCATCTGCTGAATGGATATGTGTTTTGGACTACTGTAAATTGGATTATAAACTGTTCTGTGGATATATGCTTTACTTATCTTGAGTAATTGTCTAGGAGTAGATTGGTGTGCCACTGAGTTGGTATGTTTTTAACTCCATAAAAGTTGCCAGTTTTCTGCAGAGTTCTCATATTAGATGTGTAAGAGTTCCAGTTGCACCACATCATCACCAGTCTTTCATATTGTCTGTTCTTTGGATTTTAGCCATTCTAGCGCATGAAATATCTGTGATTTTAATTTGCATTTGTTTGATGGCTAATGATATTGAGCACCTTTTCATGTGTTTACTGACAATCTGTATATGTTCTTTTATGAAGTATTCAAGTCTTTTATCTAGTTTTTATTCTTTTAAGTTTATTTATTTATTTAGCAAGAGCTCATGTGTGAGTGGGGGAGGGGCAGAGAAAGAGTGAGACAGAGAAATCTTAAGTAGACTCCCCGCTCAGTGCACAGCCTGATAATGGGCTCGATCTCACAAACCGTGAGATCATGATCTGAGTGGAAATCAAGTGTTGGACGCTTAATGGACTTAGCCACCCCAGCACCTCTATCTAGTTTATAAATCTAGCTGTTGTTAATTTCTATGAGTTCTTTATATATTCTGAATATTAATCACTAATCAGATTTATGTATACATAACTTTGTATATGCAAATATGCTCCCCCTCCAGCTTGTGGTACTTGTATATTCATTTTCTTACTACTTTGATAAACAGATATTTTAAATTTTGATGAAGTCTAAGTTGTAAATAGTTTCTTTAATGGTTAATACTTTTTGTGTTCTGAGAAATCTCTGCTTACCCCAAGGTTACAAAGATAGTTTTCTTCTAGAAGCTTTATGTTTGTGGGTTTTATGCTTAAATAACTTTTAAATTTTTGTATAGGGTGTAAGATGGGGTTGAAGTTCATTTCTCCACATATGGATCTAGTTACTCTTCCATATATGGATATCTAGTTGCTCTGGCACCATTTTTCAGAAGATTTGTCTTTCTCCACTGATTTATCTGGGTGCCACTGAAGAAGTTTCAAATGGGGGAGGAATAAGATTTTTATTTGGAAAAAGAATTTTACTGGATGTGGTAAAACTGGACAAGGCATGGGAGAGAGGTGGCCAAAAGGGTATCAGAGAGATCAGATGGGGTTGATTTCAGTTCAGACAAAAGTCCACGGTAGCTTGGACTAGGTCAGAGGAGACATAAAAAAAAAAAGTACAAGTCCAGAAATACTGATGAAGTAAAATTGGATTGGACTGGACATAGGAGGTAAGACAGGGACAAGATCAATAATGAATGTTAGGATTCTGGTCTACACAAAGGGTAGATGTGAAGCCACCTACTGTGATTTGGAACACTAAAAGAGCTCCAGAGAGATGTGGGAGGTGACACCTCTGAACAAGTGCCAGGTGGGTACACCAGTTGGGAACCCCGTGGAACGTCCTCAGTAAAGATACCAATGGGAGAATCACCAGCATGTAAATTTTTGTTGGAGAGTGGGCATGGATGCAGGGTCCAGAGAGAGCTAGAAGCAAGAAAAGACTGCCTATAGGTAAACCTTCAGGAACTCTCCCATTTGATGACCACACAGAGCATGAACTTACAAAGGAGACCAGAGCCAGCAACTTGGGGCAGGCTGTGCCACTGAAGCCTAGGGTAAGAAAGGAGGGAACCAACCAATGAAACAAACAAAAGAAAAAACTTTCTGGAAATTTAAGGAACTATCATTATTATGTAATGATTGGATCAAAGAGGAAACAGAAACCCAATGTGAAGAATATATAAAAGATAACTATAGCAAAAGCACTATTTATCAAAACTTAACCTTTGAGTTTTCCCAGCTATAAAAGAATAATTACAGGACCTAACTTCACTGGGTTTGTTCCAAGAAAGCTTAGAAAAAGTTAAAATAAAAAAAAGCTTTAGAAAGAATCCAAGTGTTTAGAAGAGCACCTGGCAAAGAGAACAGAAAGTGTGTGTGTGTGTGTGTGTGTGTGTGTATCACCTATCATTATTATTAAATTAGCAATTTGGAATAGAGCCTGTAGATATGATTGCACGTTAGCCGAAAATCATACATCTAAAGACATTCACCGAAGCACTTTAATAGCCAAAGACTAAGTACAATCTACATGTTCATCAACAGAAAAATAATGAAGTAAGTTATGGAATCCAAAAAATGTAATACTCTGTGGCCCTGAAAGGAAACACTGAGATGTGTAGGTTGCTAACAGAACAGTTTTTCAGGATGTGTTAAGGTAGGTAGGTGGATAGAGTATGTGTGTATACTGTGTTTCTGGTTGTTTTTAAAAACATGAAGAGAAACACACACACACACACACACACACACACACACACACACACACACACGTATATACATAGTTTCTAAAAGGCATGAAGAAAAATCAAATTTTTCTAGGGAGCAGGACTGGGGTTCCGAGAATTGAGATTTAGTTTTGTTATGTTGCGTTTTCATATTCTTTAGATTAAAAACAAAACAAAAACCATGTGCTTATGTTAAACTATTATAAAAAATATACATAAAACATCCTTCTCCTGTATCAAACCAATGTCACTTCTAGACTGTTTTTGTTCCCTTCATTCTCCAAAATCACCTAGGTAGATGTGTGAACTGCCAGGACGATCTTCAGCTCTTCCCTTCCTCTGACCCTCTAATTAGCTATGAGATTTCTCTCTCCTGACCTCTTTTCTTACAAAGAGCTGTGTGATAGCTCTATATTATTTATTTTACAAACTTTAACAAAAAATAAAAGAAAGCAGAATCACTTCTGTTTCTGCTAATGCCAACAAACAGTAACAGCTACCATCTACCACATTCCTGCTGTGTGCAATGCCCTTACCTGCATGATCTCATGTCACCATCACGACCCTTCAATGGGGTCAGTAAAACACTGTCTTCTCCATTCCAGAAGCAAAGGTCACCCACAGGTAGGTGAGGAATGAAGCCAGGATTTAAATGTAAGTTGACCTGAGTCCTGAGCCTTAGCCCCCTACACACACGTGGTGTCCCTTCCAAATCCAACTTCTATTTTCTATGTTTTCATCAGTCCAGGTTCATGGGCATCCCTGATATTTTTCAGTGATTATCATAGAACTGATATAATTTTCACTGTTTAAAAATTGTTACTGTTTTTTTAATTATACCTTAAATATTTTCTATATTGTTGGTCTTTACAATTATAATTGTTAGTGCTTATGCAATAAACAGTCCAGTGGATATTCTAGAATTTGCTTTATTATTCTATTATGGCAACATATTTAGAATGTTTTAACATTTTTGCAATTGCAAGAAATGCTGCAAAATACCTTTCTTGCCTCAAGCCTTTAACCTTTTCTTGGATAATTTCCTTAAAATAAACTTCTACAAAGTGGGATTCCCATGCTAAACAATTTATATATTGCCAAAATGCCCTTTCCCTTTGCTATTTACACTTTTTACAGCCGTTTTCACTGCTGCCAGCAAGACATTAAAGTCATTTATTCTACCATAACCTTGTCAAAGTAGGGTATAACTAAAAATTTTGCTAATTAAGGAAGTACAAAATGGTATCTCATCATTTTGATCTGTATCTGTGATTATTAATGAGGCTGCATTTTTCCTTGGTATCTAATACCTGGTCTTTATCATATAAACTGTTTATTCATTCTATTCACCAATTTCTCTAGGAGATCTTAGTACTTCTCTTACCAGTCTGTATCTCCTTTTTACATGATAAAGATACCAATCTTGTGCCTATTGTGTTTTTTATATATTAAAGAATTAGAGTATCTCAGTACTGGAAAAGACCTTAGAGCTATTTACTCAGTTTCCTATCTGGTAGAAAATCCACCCCCCCCCCCCCCAAATAGAAATTTAATTATTAAGAAATCCAAGAGAATGTCTTACCTGTTAGAACAGTTATGGCAGAGTCATCCTTGCTGGCAGCTTTAAGTGCAAGCATGATTTCATTATACATCTATGTGAAAGGGGGAGACGAGGAAAAGAAAAGAACTTTGAAAATAATAACTGCCACCTGGTGGATTGACTAAAAGTCTGTCTGCAAGCCTGCTCTCTGCAAAGTGCCTTCTGTTTATGTTGGTTGTATTTACATAATCAAAAAGGCAGTTGGATACACTTGAAAGGATTCTCATTCTTTTTACAACTACTCCGTGTGTATAATGGTACCATGTGCTATGGTGGACACTGGGGGATTTGTCCACTTTTTCCCAAAGTAAGCAAGACACATTTCTTGAGCTTTTGGAATTAATGCTGGCGG